CTGGCCTTGTTGATGAGGCCAGTTGCTGCTGGATAGAAATGGCGTCTTTATGGCGTGAGGTCTTGGTCCTGATGGTCCTGAACCTTCTGCCAGAGGGGAGGGTTTCAAAGAGTTTGTGACCAGGGGGATAAGCAGTTTCTTAGAGTAGACGATCATGATAATGCCATTTATTTTAAGTAAACTAGTCCCTCACATTGTCTGGTGGAGGTCCAGTGTGACCCCACCTCCCCCCATGACCCCGTCAGGGAATAAGTGGATACTAAAATGGATGGATGGTCCCTTACAGGCTCGATCTGGGTCTAAAATCAGACAATCTCGCTGTATAAGTTGGTATTTGGCGCCATCTCGTGGCCAAACGTGAGTACTGCGGGATGTTGGTTGGATGGATTACGGTACGCGAATGTGACACGTCACCAGACGAGGTGGCCGAGTGGTTAAGGCGATGGACTGCTAATCCATTGTGCTCTGCACGCGTGGGTTCGAATCCCATCCTCGTCGATACTTTTCAGTTTTTAAAATTATTTACTCAAATCCAATTAGAAGCAGAAGATTTTTTCAACTGTCTGAGCCATCGAGACGCGTTCAATAACGACTAGAAAAAAACGTAATTCTGTTGGATGCGTTTTTTTCCCCTTTTGTATGAATTTATTCTCAATACAATTAAAGAAAAAAACATATTTCTTCTACACGTACCTGTACAAGAGTTTCTAACAACAACATTAGCTTTATATTACAGTTTCTATCTTAATCTTGCCGACAGCTCTTTAATTGCAGTACCACAATTTCACCACTTGGGATCAGTGTTGCACGGATCTGTGCACAGATTTACCTTCAGAATTCAACTTCCAGTTGATGCTTCACTGTCTGGTTCACAATTGAATTCAAAATGTAATCAGTAACATGTTGAATGATGTGTTGAAATATGTATAGCTTTATAAAAACTAACTTTCTTCAGAGATGTGAACCAGAGAAAACGAAAGAAGGTGGGGTCAACTATGTGTACAGTTTCATGACAATTATACAAAAAAACAGAAATACGTTTATTGTACAAGATGCAAAATAATTGACAAACCATGTAAAAAACAAAATAAATAAATAAATGTGGCAACATGATATTTTGTCAAAAATGAAGATATAGAGGACTTTACATGCACAGTTTTTACCAAAATGATCAAATGCAACACCACAAATGTAACTAAATGTAGTCACGTGAGACGACTAATTCATATCATCCATTTTCAGATTTTGCACTTTTTATCATTTTATTTTTTACATTTTAGTTCGGCTC